GTTATCATGGCTCCTGTCAGTGGGGGGGATGTATTAGGCAGCAAGTGAACATTTTGTTCTCAAAGTTGATGTGTTAGAAGCAGGAAAATGGGCAGCGTGAGGATCTGATCGACTTTGACAAGGGCCACATTGTGATTGATAGACAACTGGGTCAGAGCATCTCCAAACCTGCAGCTCTTGTGGGGTGTTCAGGGTCTGCAGTGGTCAGTACCTATCAAAAGTGGTCCAAGGAAGGAAAAGTGGTGAAGAGACAGGCTCATGGCCAAGGCTCATTGATGCACGTGGGGAGTGAAGGCTGGCCCATATGGTCTGATCCAACAGATGAGCTACTGTAGCTCAAACTGCTTAAACAGTTAATGCTGGTTCTGATAGAAAGGTGTCAGAACACACAATGCAGAGCAGTTTGTTGGTATGGGGCTGCAGAACCTTAGGACCACCGGGGTGCCCAGGTGGTCAGAATATGTAAAATAGAATTACCATTTACCAGGATAACACAGATTATTTCAAGGATATTTGGTCATTTAATTCCAGGCATTTCTATGACTTGAAAACTAGTCTCTAAATTTCTGCAGCAAAGAGAGCTGCAAAGCCAGTCGCTAACGCTTTTAAACTGTAAAACATACTATGTAGGTAAAAGTGACATGCTTTTATTTTGAAGATGTAATTAAAGTCCTGGCATTTGTCTTGTTGGATGACTTGACACTCCTCTCTGCAAAGCTGCTGTACCAACAACCATCCCAGCAGTTTATTCAGGGATCAAACTCCATCAACTCTCCCTCTTTCTATTACATAGAGGCAACTGCATGGCTGGAAGTTTAGTTATTCAGGAATTTGTCTGAAGCCCCCATACAAAGATCACAGATCACGGTAATGGCTGTATAGTGACATCCGGTATCATTGTTTCAAGAAACCTTCTGAAAAATCCCTTAAAATTTTCACAATTCCATATTCCAGTTGTGAGACACCACAGGTAAACACAAATTAAAGATACTGGCTTCACTTTAGTGTTCTGGTTAAACAGCTTTAATGGCACAGATGAGTTATATTAATGGAGCATTTGTACATCCAGCAGGTTCACTCTCATTCCGAATGCACGTACTCGGTGGGGGAAAAATGTCTGACAATGACTTTGTTATTAAATGTAATGCATTATTTGGCTCTCCATGTTGGAAGAACAAAATAATAACTAGAATATTATGCCATTCAACTCTAAAAAGAAGAAAAAAAAGGACAAACAAAACAACCACACACTATTTAACCAGGTCTTCTTGAAAAAAAGAAAAAGAAATGCAAATAAAAAATATATTTACAAAAAAGTGGAATTTTCGAAACAAGAACTGAGTCTAGTATCTACACCCCTCGCCCGGACATCTGAAATCCTCCTCTCCTCTCTCTGAAGTTGAAAGTTACTGGATGTCGGTAAAACTCAGGTGTTGAACAGCAGAGCCTTATTTATTTTCACTGAAACAATATAATGGACTAATGAATTGGATTAATATGGAAGCACCTTTCTTTATATGTGTAACGGACAGTTTTGGTATTTGTATTAATCCTATGTCTTGTTCACAGTTTGAAGAGTTACTTCCCAACATCACATCCACCACTTGCACAACAAGACACCAACTCTTACACATTCATATAAAAGTAAAGTAAATGATGTTGCAGGACTTGCAGGTAAATAAGGCTCTTCTGTGCAAACACTCCAAAACCCCAAACAGCCACTAGTTGCTAATATTCAGCTGGATGGCTTCAATAATAATAAAAAAAAAAACGTGATTACATTGAAGCATGCAGCTGAATATGTGAAACCCTTGGTGTTATTGAGATCATAAACATGTATACCAAATGACACAACATGTGTAAAATGACACAAACAAAACCAAACAAAGCGGTGTCCAGAGCGAGGAGAGGAGCTGCTGTGTGTGTGTGTGAGAACGTCCAATTTCAGTTGGGTGTTAACACCTCAAGGCTTCCAGAGCTTCAGCAGACCGTCCTCGCCGTAGGTGCCGATGAGGTTCTGGTGAGGGTGGTGGGCGATGCCGATTACGTCCTTCTCATGGACCTGGAGGGGGGGGGAGCGAGACGTGAGCAAGGATCGTTTAAAATGAAGGAAGCTGAACAGTGAAAAAAAAAAGGCTCATTATAGATATTTAAAGCAATTTAAATGCTATAAAGTTATGTCACCAGTAAATCACAACATTTGTTCAAGAGATATCAACAATATGCATTTAAAATGAAATTATACTGAAATAATATGAAACAAAAAAGAACATAAGAAACATTGTTCTTGTGGTGATTCTAGTCAAATGCGATGTAAACAAGTCTTCATAGACAGAATTCTTATAATCACTGTACACAGAGTCAAAACCTCCTTGCGTGGTGTTAACTTTTTAATAAAAGAAACTGTTAGCCCTAATACTTATTCTGTTGATTCTTTATGCGATTAAGAAATTTGTTTAGTCCATGAGATGTCAGAAAATGGTGAAAAATGTTTAATGTTTCTGAAAGCCCATGGTAATTACCTTAAATGTTTTATCCACAACCAAAGATACCCAGTTTACTGTCAGAGGACTAAAGAAACTAGAAAATCTCACTTTTGAGAGGCTGAAATCAGAAATTAGAAAATGACTCAAAACGATTATCGTAATAGTTAGCTATTAATTTAATAGTTGACAACTAATCGATTTATCGCCTAATCTAGAAATAGATAGACAAAGTTAAGTGACTTAAATAGACCATAAGAAAAATGCAGCAAAAGTCATAAAAGTTGTGATTTTTCTTTGTCTGTGCTTGTTTATTGAGTCATTTAATAAGAGATAAGAGCGTCACCCTCGCCTTTAATCCAACCGTTACCAAAAGAATTTTTAGTAGCGGAGCAGAGGAGGGAATGTGCAGTGATATTTTTGGACTCTTTGATCTGTGCTCCTGAGTGCAGTAACGTACCGTCAGCGTTCTCTCCAGCTTGCCTGTGACAGTGCTGAAGCAGTAGAGCACAAAGTCTTCACCCACGCAGTAGATCCACTCGCCGCGGGGCGACAGGGTGCAGCACACAAAGTCACCGCCTTCCCTCTTACCGGAGCTGAAACTCCTCACGATCTGCACAGCGGGAGTCACATTTAAACACACACAAAGCATGTGTGTAAAAGGGCAGGCAGGGGTTCAGTTTCACAAGCAAGTACCTTTAAAAAAAGCTACAATGTTCCATGCTTATTGCTCAGTATTTAAAAGAAAAGACTGTTTATGTAACGGCTCAGAGGCCGATTTCAGCTGCCTGTCATGGTTCCTAAAATGACTCATGGAGTAACACTGTGCTCTGTTTTCCTGCTGGACTGTTCAGTGCAGTAAGGATTTGGACTGACCTGTCCCTGCATGTTCATGATGACCACCGTGTTGGAGCGGTTACACACTACAAAGTGCTCCGGGTTCTTGGGCAGCAGGATGACGTTGTTGACTGTGATGTCGGTGCCGGCTGACGTGCCCAGAGGCTTGAAGGTGTTGCTGCACTCGGTGGTCTTCATGTTCCACACCTGGAACACAGTGAGATGAGACACTGGTCAGACACGCTGCTGATATAGGCACGTTAACAAGATATCTACAGAGTGGTTTCGAAAGAGAAAGTGCTGAAGGGATGTCTGCTTCTCTCACCTTGACCGTACCGTCCGATGAAGCGCTGATGATGTGGTGGCCGTCTGGCGTGAAGGTGGCCTCGTTCACGAATGAAGAGTGACCGCGGAACTCCTTGAGAGTTTTACCCGACTTCAGTCCATGGATTCTTAGGCAAAAAGTACAATTTAATACATGTTAACAAAATGATACTTAAGAAAGATGTTCAGTAAAGCGCACGGGTGCCCCATCAGCTACAGTAATATTTTTGGCATTTGGAAGAAGAATAAAGGGTGTTTGGTCCGGTCTGAGTTTACCTGATCGTCTGGTCGAAGGAGGCGCTGAGAAGCTGGCTGCTGTCTTTGCAGAAACTGACGCATGTAACTCCTTTACTGTGGGCGCGCTCAAACCTCCTCAGACACTGACCGCTCTGGATCTTCCACACCTACACACACACATTTACTTTTGTTTGTTTTTGAAACATGACACTGTGCCTGCAGGAAACTATCATGAGTACTATGAAACTCAATACAGAAGATTATATTTCCTGTAAACATAACGTAACTTGGACTTGAAGCATTGCCTTTCAATGATACAAATGTTTGACTTTCATAGTTCAATGTTCAACAGTCAATAAACACATTTTTGTACAACAGAAAAGCTTAGGAATAAGTAGATTTTATTTTGGAAGAACACTGCTGTCTTAATTACATTAATTACACTGCATTTTACCATTAACATGGAGGACTTTCTGGATTTCAGTGTCAAGGTTTACCTACAGAGAAAAGGTTTAACTTATCTCTTTAGAGCCTTACACACATCCGTAAAAAAAATAAAAAAACACACCGTGCATTGTGTTTAGTCTGACAAAAACCAGCCGTAAACCAGGTCCCTCAGTAAACCTGTCTCACATACAGCTGTAAAAGTAAAGGATGTAGGAGCAATGACAGAGACAACAGTTCATCTTTCTGGTCTACCTTGATCTTTCCATCCTGAGCTCCGGTGGCCAACATCTCTGTGTCTCGACTGAAGCCCATACACAACACTGCGTCGTCCATCATCATAAAGTTATCCTGAGCCTGGTACTTCAGATCCTGTAGGACGCATTGCATACATTTATTTCAAGTCGGCAGAAGTCCCCTCGAAACACTGAGTGTAAATGCAGCCTTACATTCAAGCAGACAGTGTTAGTTTGGATACGCTACCTTTCTGATTTTGCCGGTGGTGAAGTTCCAGACCTCGATGAAGCCGTCCACGGAGCCAGTGACCAGGTACTGTCCATCAGGGGAGAATCGGGAACACTCCACGTGAGATTTCTGTCCAAACTGTGCAGGGAAGAAAAACAAGTCCTATCAGAGCACTTAAAACACTCGATTTACCATCATAACTCCAGGAGGTGTGAAATTAAAATGACAGTGTGCTTGGCTAAATGCACAGCAGGGAACAGTGACGCAGCCCATTAATGTTGCTTTCTATAATCCATATTTTGGGACAGTGTGGGTACCTTGATGTGCCTGCTGAGCTGTGTGGGGAAGCGCTCCTCCTCCACATCTTTAACAGCAGCTTTACCCCTGAACAAGTCGATAGTCATACCAGGAGGCAGGAGTCCCTGATGCTGCTGCCACTTCAGAGACTGAAGGAGGAGAATGTAGCCAGTGGACAAAACCATTAGTAAACCATTATTCGAGTGGTAGCGTAAGTTTAAAGTGTGGGGAATGATAATGAAGAACAAGCACGTGTGCTTCAAATATGTCTGGTTTAAGATGCAAATTAGTGGATTTATGGTGAGACTTACTGAAGGGTGACACTCAACCTGCAGGTTTGTGGATCACTTACCTGTCCCAGCAGAGCCATGAGACGAGAGGGCGGCACCACGCTGACCTCCCCCGCCAGGGCCTGGGCGATGGCGGCCCGGCGCTTCTCCTTACTGCTGCCGTCTGGGTACGCCTGGACAACACGTAACACAAACATCAGAAACTCAGCACAACTGGAATATTTCAAATGTTTTCTTTAGGAAACATTTAGAATGTATCCAATGTGAGGTATGAAGGCAGATGCAGATTGCATTTGTATTATATTCCCACCTATTGTTCTTGTGAGGCTAAATAGTAGTTAAAGCAAGGGTAAAGCTTATTTTAGCCTTTTGTCCATTTTTTACTGAAAAACTGGATTTTTTGGGGGAATTTAATAACTGATGAAGAAAGGTCGGATCTTCCTAAAAGTCTAGTTTCGACTCACCTCTCTGGGATCGAAGTAAGAGCGAGCCAGCAGGTTCTCCAGGTGGATGTATCGCTCCGGCTGCGTCTGTTTCAGCATGATCATGGGGTCGGTCTGCCTGAGGAGAGAACGGGCCGCACCCAACTCTCTCAGCTCGATCAGCTCTAACACCACCTGGTCGGGAAACAACATACACATTCAGATTCAGACTTCAAACGTGACTTCAGCCCTGATCCATCGGGGTTCTTTTCACTGAAGGAGCTGTTGACATGAGCAATGACACCAGCAGAACAACTGCTCCGTCTTTTATCTCAAATACGACAAACACCTGGCTTGAGAAAGAATTAGAAAGAGCAGATTGAACAAACTGCTTCGTTGGATAGAAACCAACGGGAATGAAGTTAAGAAATGAAACAGGCCAACAATCACGCAGAAACACTGAAGATTACACAAACACCCAGGAAGAGACAAAGCTAACGATGGCAACAAAAAACTGAAACATTCAACAAACGCCTGGTGAATTAAGTTCATAAAGTAGGAGAAAATGTGGAAATTAAAACAAGTTAATAATATATTTCCTCAAACTTGCGTGCAGTGGGAATGCAGGAGGATATCAGAGTGCAATGTGAGCACCACCTCACCTGTTCATAAAGGTCTATCAGGGTCTTGTCTGGCAGCTTGAGGGACTGGATGGCTTGCAGGACTGTATCCCAGTGGCCGCTGTTTATGTCTGCCACAAAGCTCTCTATACTGTCCACCGTGTTGAGAGACACCGTGGTCTCCTCCTGCAGGGTGGCCAGAGTCCGTTGCAGGTTGTTTTCCTTTAAGTACTGCATAATCAGACGGATCACGCTGTGGGAAACACACACATCGCTCATTATCAGTTGGACAGTCAGTACTTTCGCTGCCTGTTTTGTATAATGTACCGTTTCCACCCCGTCAGAACAATGTATGGCACTGTCAGTGTAACGTAGCTAATGCTAACTTATTCCAACTCCACTAACGTTATCTTCCTGTTCCGTTTACTAACAAAAGAGAATGTGACAGGGTGTAACACTTTAGAAATACACCGACTTTACATTGGACTGTAATTACCCTCACTTGGGTAATTAAAAAAAAAAAAAAGAGCATATATAATCTATGGGACTTTAAGTTAGCCTGTTAGCTTAGTTTAGCGCGCTAACGCTAGTGGACTGCAGGAGAGGATGAGGCAGGCCTCAGTGACAGAAAACATCATCAAATGTGGAGTTATTAGCCGGCGATTTATTATATGAATTGCTCTGCTTTATAAGTAATTAACTGGGCTACTCACTCTGCGGATTCCACCTCCAGAGACATGATTATTTATCTTAAAACAGTAGCCACAACACACTCTTGAGTCGGCAGCAAAGGCAACACGACGCAGGACGGACGCAAACACGGAAGTACTGGGAGGAGCCTGGGATCTTCAAAATAAAACTCTCTTCGTGTCGAGGTAGATTATTTTGAATTCTGTACAAAAAGGCTCGAAAGTGTCCCAGCAGATTGAGGGCAAGTTTATAAAATTACAGAAATATTATGAACAAGAGGTGAATACAATATTAAGCAACGTTAATGTGATGTTATATGTGTGTGTAATGCTGCTGCTACACTGTAATTTCCCAGCTTGGGATCAATAA